TAAAACACTTCCAAACCTTGAAAGAGCGGGTTTTAATAAGGCAAGTAAAATTTTTAATGTATTCATATACACCAAAACAAATCCATGCGCAAAATGACTTCTCATCTTTTATACGAGTACCGATAGTGGGGGATGCACCGGGTAAACAATCAGACATCACATTTTTACGTCATAAATCTGTGTATTATTTGACATGAAATGTGAACACAGTGACGCTAAGGTTACAGTATATGACACTCCAGTAAAATTGCGCAATAAAGTGGAAACTGGCAGTCGACCATTTTAATCTGCTGCCTCGGCTAGCGGTTAAATATTAACCTGTTATTGATTAATTGATTAACTGTGCAGTCATGATCATGTTGCTCTGTGCACCTTATTGTAATTTTCCTCCTCGATGGCCATATAGTTCCTGCAAAGTAAACTAATCATATTTCCTTTCCTCTCAAAGATCATAAGCATCATTAGAATCATCTGCAAGCCCAACACAACGTGCAATCGGGTGTTAATCAATCACATCCGGTAGAATGATACACTTTCAATATTCGATGATGCGGCTAGCTACCTGTAAGCATTCTGCACAAAAAGATTGCCTATAATGTTCAGCCTGAAGCATGAATTTGCTTTAAATTCCATTCCACAAAATCCGTAGTTTAGACAAATTAAGTGTTATTCGGTACAGTCATATATATCCACGAATAACAATCCTTGGAAATTATCAGAAAAGACACACCAGCGGAAGCAGCGTACTATGAGGCTATTGAAACTGTAGTACGAGTATAAATGAAAAATCTCCAGTAACGACGATGTTGTAAATTCAAAATCTGCTGGTGCACGTTTTTTTAACTCTGTGCAAAGTACACACGTGTTAATTCCATATACACATCTTGGGATATACGAATATTCGACCTTTAGCTATCGACTTTGGCTATATATCTCAGAACGTCGTAATTTCGTCAGCTCGTTACGTAGTATATTTGCTAAAGAAAGATAATATTAGTTTGACATGAATGAGATGTTGATCTCGTGTAGTGTATTAAAAAGAAGAGCATTGGGTTTGCTTACGTATCTGATTTATTAGTTCAAATGCTGGTCTTTCAACTGATACGAGCTCGATTGACGATCGAGGGGAAAAGGGCGTAGTTGGTTCTTTTGCGCTTTTTATTTGTTGGGCTTTGGTAAACCGTTCATGCAAGTAACATGTACCCATGATAAATTACGGCAATAAGCTGAGCACGAACATATTGGGTCTTTGTACAAAGAAACACATGATTTTTTGTCCCTCGCCTAGCCGGAAGCCGCCATTGAGTTGCGCATACGTATGCATAGCGATGATGCCGAGCATATTGCGCATTTCACTCATCCCGCAACCATTTGTGCACTATAGCATAAATTCTCACCGTTTTATGGATACAGCGTATGTGATACTAATACATATGCAGCATTTGTGAAACGACTAGAAAATGAATTTGTTGAAAGGGAGCCACTAGTACGGGCACAGTTATGGAAGTCCCAGTGATGGGGCTGCCATTAGTTGTGATTAAATAACCAGCTTAAGAACACTTTGTACAATTCCCATCTATTTAGTCCGTCGATTGTGACTTTTGAGTGTTAGTTGTCTGTCGGTTGTGTGTAGTTCTGACGGGAACATATTTAGTTGGATATTGACTAGCGTGACAAAATAAACACGCGATTATGCCCGAATACCGGGTCGAGCAAGTATTTGATACTCCGTACATCAACGTACGACTGTGGCATGCTATTTAAGAAGAAACGTAAACATTAAATATTTTTCAAATACCACAATGCAATGTCCGCAGAACAGGTTCTGACATCGAAAAATTCGCTCCTAAAAAGATCTGCAGCGAAAATCTTCTAAAATGTTTTGCGATAATTAACTATGACCTAAAATGAACTGTTAATAGTTAACGCTTAGGTAAGATCCCTTGTTTAATCATTTTCATACTTACAGTCTCTTACTTAGAATAAATGTACATCATCTGAAGTTATACCATCGTGCAATTTTTGTTTGCAACGATCTTGTTTGCAAATTTTAAGATTGTATAAAAGTCAAATCAATAAGGACCATACGCCTTAGCTTGCAAAGAAAAGGATACTGGTCTAATGAGCCGGAAAAAATATGAAATGTTTTAAAAGGACAATTTTTTGTGCTTTTTACAAACAAATGGAAATTTAATGCACTTAAATATGCACATCAAATGGAAAATATACTGTATCTGGCCGTCAAAAATGGTACTATACCGTAGTGACATAGTGGCCAGGAACCTCTGCGTAACAAATCAGCAATCACACAAAAACAAATTGCACAATATGAACATTGTACTTTACGAAATACCAAGTATGCACGCATTTTTCTAGGATGATTTCTATCAAGGTTTGGTATGATTACGATTTTATTTACATTTTGTAAAGTATTCAGCATTCAGCATAATGTTCACGTACATATAGAACAAAGCTAGTCAGATCGACTACCGAGTATTTCCTCGTACACGGCCAGGTACAATTGTGAGTCTAATTAAGATTGTTTACTTATTTGCAGATGCAAAGCATCATAACAAAAGAATCATCACGCGAAACATTCCACCTTAAATCTACACCATTTGCCGCAGTTTGACCGGGATTGCCAGCAAACTTTACGATTGAGAAAGGAAATCCAGTTGAACTGCCGTGCAGGATATCAAATCAAGGAAAAATATGGTAAGAGACTTACATAAAAGCCGGTCTTTCTAGTGTTACAAGATGCACAAATTTACCAGTTTCAAATGAAGGTGCCAGGCACCGTGCGCGCCATGATTTTGTAACTGGAATTTCGCTTAACGGTACACTGTATACCACGTAGTATCTGCTGAATGCATGTTTAATTCTATCATGGGCCGCCTAAACTGTTGTTCTCGTATGTAGAATTAGTATATATTAAAGTAATAAAACTTTAGTACCGTGCTAGTTGCTATTGATTTATGTTGATAATATGTATACAATTGTTTGTTGGCACATCAAAATTGTCTCTTGTAACAACTAATAACGTATTTTTTGGCTGACCGAATAAATATATTTATTGCTCGAGGACAGGTGTCGTGGGTCAAGTACAACAATCGCCATTTCCATGTACTATCAGTAGGCGATATATTGTTGACGGAAGATGAAAGAATAACATTGAGCAAAAACGAAGGACCTTCAGACTGGGCCTTGACAATCACCAAAGTCAAACTGTCGGACTCCGGAGTTTATGAATGTCAGATTGGAACTTCTGGCAGGAACGTCACCCTGCATGTCCACCGTGAGTTATTGGATAACAACATCCACAACTGGACGTCACCTTTTACTTGGTCTAATCAAACACAGAGTAAAATGCATACACCATAATAATTATTATTAGTACTATATTTATTATTACAATACGTGAGCTTAATAATTTCATCGCGTTTAGTGCACTTCTCTGTACACTAATCACGTACCGTACTTGTAGGTGCACTTCTACATACGTACACAGTTATGTAAATACTGCAAATTTGGACGTATTTATTAAGGCGCTCTTCGTATTATTGTTACTAACCTAAAGTAAGGGATGAAATTTTTGCTTTTGTGCTGCCTATGCAAATTTTTTAATAAATTTTTTTGCGTGTGTGGGTTAAAGGTAAATTTCTTGATAGAGAAACTGCTGAATGTCGTTTTGTGCTTTCTGTTTTGTCAACCGAATGTATTTGACCTTGAGTGAATCAACTGATTATAACAGCACAGTACCCATAAAAGTATTGTACTGTAAAATGACATTGTTGAATGTTGTAGGTCCTCCGAAAAGATCGTCAAGTTTAGCATCTCATCTACGGTATTCCAGCATAACCACTTTGTTTGTTTGGACAATCATGTCGTTTCTTAGGCCGCACTTCGCTGTAGTATAATGATGCAGAATAGAAGCCAACACTACCGTTCTCGTCAATATCAAACTATTGGAACACCTTGGCTAACAAGAACTGCACCTTCGAAAATGATCATTGCTCAGCGGAATTAGCCGCCTTTTTTGTGATCCATTCTCAAATAAAATCGAAAATTGTACTAACTTCTGTTTAATGACACGTACTGCAGTGAATTTTTTGGTCGACCTGTCGAAGCTCGTGTACAGAGCTAGAACTACAATTGTATAAAGTATGCATTTTTACAAGCATACAATTTTGATGCTCTGCAATAGCGCTTTGAATTGGTACACTCGTCTGTGGTTAACTAGAGGTTCTACCGTGTTCACTGTCATAGCGGCAGAACTGTTTCTGCGCAATGCGCGAAGCGTTGATGGCAAAACCATCGCACCCAATTACAAGGAAAATGATCATACTACACATGTCAATGAATGAAAAAAATTGTCAATAGATTTTAAGGGAAAAAAACCGACGTAATCCACACAAATTTTAAAACCTCTGTAAAAAATTTCAATGTTGTTAAAAAAAATTACTTTCAACGCCAAAGCAGCGTGAACTAGAATAGGAAAAACTTTGTGAAGAGTTTTTGTTGATAAAGTTTAAAATGAGTTTAAAATTTGCGTTTTTTTACACCCGAAGACACTTATATTTTTTTCTACGGAGTTGAGAATCAGCAATTTAGAAAAACGCTTCACAAAGTTTTTAGCAAGTGTTTTTTCCACATACTGATCAAAGTTGAGAATTATATTAGCTTTCCTGAATTAGTTATAGATTTTACAAATTGGTATCAAATTGCTCAGGATTCAGCGAAGAACTTTCTTTGTTATACACTTTCGCGTGAATCTCTCACTTTTGCGCCTGCAGTGCCGCCACAGTGAATGGCCGCTGGCGTTCGCGAGATATGTTCTCCCTGAACCCTGTCTCCCGGGCTTTGTTATCTCTTCGTGTCCCCGTTTGGCACACAAGATTTTGGTCTGTTTCCTATCCCGCTTGCCACCCGACTGTTTCTCACTTTCTCTACCTGTTCTATTGCCAGTTAATTTTCTTTCGCTCATTGTACGAAGGCGGCGACGGAGACATGTTTGGGCGTTTTGAGATGCCGGTTGTGCGGGAAGCGGTGATTGAGGCACATCCCGTGCGCTCAACCTATCTGTACAGCAGCCCCGAATGCCCACGATCAGGTGTGCGGGTGCTGGCTGTCAGACCGATCCCTTGCAAGCCGAACCTCCCCTTTATTATGAACAAAACTGCACATGGGATGCTAGCATGACAAAGCCTCCGCGCATAGGGCGGGCGGAACGGGAGAAAAAACCATGCAAACCAGAACTACATAAATTCAGGATGCAGCCGCAACTGTTCCGAGACTTCGAATAACTTAGTAATCTGTAAGCACGATTCTGGAGTACAACCCACCACAAGACTGTTGCTAAGCAATGAGCGCCAGTAGAATACAAAAGAGTCACTTCCGCTCAAGTAAATTAACCATAATTAAATGCCACATTTAATTGTACATTAATTTTCTTTCGCTCATTGTACGAAGGCGGCGACGGAGACATGTTTGGGCGTTTTGAGATGCCGGTTGTGCGGGAAGCGGTGATTGAGGCACATCCCGTGCGCTCAACCTATCTGTACAGCAGCCCCGAATGCCCACGATCAGGTGTGCGGGTGCTGGCTGTCAGACCGATCCCTTGCAAGCCGAACCTCCCCAAACAACGGCCCCAAATTAAGCTTGTGGGTATAGCGGTATACCGGCCAACGGCACGTCCTTCCTGATGTATGTCGTATAGGCATCAGATCTCCAGCGCCCGGCATGTTTAATATCTTGGAATGGCGCGCCATTGGCTGCAGCGCAAGAGGCAGCTCCTATTCTGAAACTGTGCGGAGTATAAAGGTGACTGTTGGGAATTCCGTGCGTTGCTAAAATTAATACGCGAGCGAAAGCAGATCTCGTAACAGGTGAACCGTCGGAGGTGACAAACAGGGCTGTGTGCGAAATTCTTAGACTTCTCCGCAGTGCTAAGTATTTTCGCATCGCCCGTACAGGACAGACTGACCGATCAGTTGCCGACAAATATATCCGACATCCGTCCCGAAACTGGTCAGATTTAGATGAACGAAGGTTAATAATGAGCTTCGAATTCTGATATGATATATCCGCTAAACGCAGAGAATGACCACCAAGTGACGGTACGACCTCACCAATGCGTAAGAATCCGAAAAAACACAAGGTATACATGCACCAGTATAATTGTTTTTCGAATGATGATAAAACAGCTGAGCGATCAATATTAAGCTTGATGATGCGCATGTTATCGATGGTAATTGGCAATCTGCTATCAGCAGCAGTGCCTCGCAAACGCTTAAAACCGGTGAGGCATTGTGGAATATTTGGTGCACTAAAGTCGAAAGATGAACCGTTTTCTTTGAGTGAATTGTAAAGCGCGGATAAATAAACTTTAACTGACGAATAAGAAATACCACAGTTAAAAAGGAATGCAATATACCGTACTACTACGTCCTCTGTAATGTTCAACGGAGATAACCGAAACAACTGGCAAAACTCAGAAAATTTATTTATGCCACTTCGATAAGTTTTTCTAGAAGAAGGTGCAATATGATGATACCGTAAACTTTCAGCCGTTCTGTCAAGACAAGCTAAAGATGTAGCAGATGATAATTGTACAGATCGGTTAACACGTTTTCCGGCACCAACAGCGGATTTAGATTTGCGTTCGGCGCTAGGCTGGTAAATCGCTTCATCTGAAACCGGGATAGAGAGTCAGCAATGCTATTGTTGATACCGGATATGTGCTTAATGGTGATTGTAAAATTAAGCCGAGCTGCGATGGCCACCATGCGCCGCATTATTTCGAGGACAACTTTGCAGCGAGATTTGTAGTTTTCCCAAGCTTGCGAGGCGCCGAGATTATCGCAGTGGAAAATTACTTTCCGACCGCTTAGCTGTGGTCCCCATAATGTTAAAGCGACAAGTATAGGGATCATCTCTAGGCACTCGATTGACAGCTGTGCATTAAGTATAAAGGCTGGCCAGCGTATCTGAAACCATGCTCCACTGAAATAGCCGGCACAACCGATGGTAGCAGACGCATCAGTGTACAACTGGATCGCATCACAGCGAGTCCAGTCAGGTTCGAGAAATTTTGCTGTACCGTTCCATTTCGGGAGGAATTCGAGCCACCAGTCAACATCACGCTGGAAATCTTCGTCGAGCCTTACTTCGTTCTGAGTTGCACTCTTGACCAATGACAATTGCGAAATAAGCCGTCTTGTAAACAGGCGACCAACGGGTACACATTTGGAGGCGAACATAAGAGAGCCTATTAAGCTTTGCAGTTCTGTACGGTTGCATGCGGTTTTAGACTTCCACATGTTAAGAAGAGCAATGATTTCATTCAGTTTTCCATGCGGTAAACTAAGTGTTTGTGCAGCGGAATCAAGTACAATTCCGAGAAATTTTAAAGTGGTAGACGGGCCTTCGGTTTTTTTAGTAGCCAGAGGGACACCAAGCGCTGTGCACAATTCAGTAAATTTAATCATAAGCGTGGAGCAGGGTTGCTTATTAGGTGGTGTTGCAAGAAAGAAATCATCAACGTAGTGCAGCCTAAAGAGATGGCCGCTGACATTCACAAAAATCCAGTGTACTGCATCTGAGATTAGACAGAATAGAAACGGTAAAGAACGAGAACCGAAAGGAAGGACAATATCGAAATAGTAATAACCATTGCACATATAACCCAATAAGTGCCAGTCAGCAGGTCTGACAGGGACAAGTCGAAAAGCATGCTGAAGATCGAACTTTGCCATGAACGCGCCTACTCCCAGCGTTATAAGCATGCGTACCGCATCATCCACAGTGCAGAACGCAAGAGAATAGTCGTCCTTGCTGATGTAGTCATTGACACTTTCACCTGCCGGCCGAGACATGTCCATTAATATACGGAATTTGCCGTCCGGCTTTGGCCGTACACCTAACGAGTTAACGATGAAGACAGGGAATGGCGGACTGGTAAATGGACCCACTGAATGCAATAAGGATATCTCTGTATTAATCTGCGATTGTAAGTGGTCCGAATACATGCGTGCAGAAGCAGCATTAGGCGTGGACAAGCTTCGATTGGGGCCACGATAGCCGATATCTGCTCCGTGTCGTAATATGTGCAGTACATATGTGACATACTCCTGATCTGGGTGTTCGATGAGGTGGCTTGCAAAAGCTTCAGCTTTCAACGGTGTGATGATATTACTGGGCACTGTTGCTTGCTTTTGATTTGCACTGGAAATCGCGGTGTTCACGTTGGCCACAGTTGGCGCACCGGTGTTGACGACCATATCGGCAGAACAAACCGGCAGTGCAGTGACCTTTATTCCAGAGGTGGCACACTTCGTCAACTTTTGCTCCCCCGCTACCAGCGGGGAGGCTGAGAAACGACTGCCCAACCCATGAAGAACGACGGTTGCTGGTGCTGTTGTGCAATGTCGGACATTCAGGTCTGATGTGTCCGAATTCTAAACAATTATAGCACTGAACCACAGTATTTTTCGCTACACCGCCTGTGGGTTGACCAGCGTCATGCCCAAGTGGTTGCATTAAATACTCGGTATAAGCATCATCGTTTCTACGTGACCACTGCATTGCATCGTTCGGATTGCGGCACACAGCTAGCCGGAACTGCCGGTCGTAGGCAAGCCACTGGTCAGTAGTGATTCCTTTCAGTGCCGCTATTTGCGCGATGTGGTCTACGTACTTCATCATGGGTAAGTCCAGCTCAGGGTATATGGCACACCGATACATTTTCAGCACTGAAAACGCTCTCATCCACTGAGTAAAGTCTCGAATCTGCACGCTTTTACCAGCTGGATTTTTGATGTAGACGGCACTTGAGGAGCACAGCTGAGCAGTAGTAAATCGGGAAGATGGACGAATTCCTTTTTGCTGAACAGCTTCGGCAGCAGAGTGTTTTCGACTGGTAACAATAGACTCTTAACGTTCTGCGGTAAAGCCTCAAGTACTGCTGCAGCTTTCCGGGTTACGGCTGTAGTACTACTAGTACCAATGAATTCGATCTCAGTAGCGCCATCTGTATTGAAATCTTTACCTGGATCGGAAACAGGAGACATGTCCCGTAGGTGGAGCTGCGGTGCTTTTACTTTGCCGGCATCCTGGATTCGAATCTTGCGAGTTCCTGGTGAGAAGGATCGAATGCTATCATCAGTAGCAGGGACGACGGTCGCTACCGACGCCGATAGGTCCGAAATTTGCTTTTTTAGCTGAGCAAGTTCTTCTTCCACCGTTGGTTTCTTTTTTGTGACACCTTGACTAACACCCACACGTCTTCCTGCAAGCCGCTTGCTTCGCGTAATCCCGCGACCGGTGCCACGTGGTCTCCCGCGTCCGCGGTTTGGACACATAGGACACGTTTGTCGTAGGACACGCAGGCGGTAATATACAAATTATCAAAATATTTGCGTATAAAAAAAACCATGCAAAACATAGAAAAAACCATGCAAACCAGAACTACATAAATTCAGGATGCAGCCGCAACTGTTCTGAGACTTCGAATAACTTAATAATCTGTATGCACGATTCTGGAGTACAACCCACCACAAGACTGTTGCTAAGCAATGAGCGCCAGTAGAATACAAAAGAATCACTTCCGCTCAAGTAAATTAACCATAATTAAATGCCACATTTAATTGTACATTTCTTATGTTCTTAGGTTTCTTAGGTTGCTCGGTCCCAAATTCTAAGAAACCTAAAGGATGGTCTCATATCTGTAGCGTATCTCGCTGGCCCATGCCGCTGTGAATGATGCTGTCTAAGCTGAGCAAAGAAAGTTGATGAGCGGCAGCCAGGTCCAGGCGCGGAAGTACTTACCTTTTCCAGCGCTCTGATTGGCTAGCGTCCAGACAGCGCAGAGCCGCCGCAGCAATTTGATACCGCAGCACAGCGATTCCGATGTGAGCAATCAGCACCGTCCTCCTCCTCCCGGCACTCCGTTGTCTTCACCAACTGCTGCAGTGTTGAAATCGAACATGATTAATTTTGCGCTGGATTTTCAGTTTGGATTCACTATAACCTCCGCTTCCTTTTTCAGGTTTTTAAAGTTTAAAAGCAAAGATGGTTGTAATTACAATATACAATTTCGTTGGGTCTGCATAGCTTCAGTACCTAATACAATTATTAATTAGTACCTTACTATAGAAATTCAACTTTCTCAATAATATAGATATTATTTATTAGTGTACAGAGAAATCCCTATCTTCGTTGGCCGATGTGGAGGTGGTCATTTTGTATCCACCAACAGGCGCTTCGTTATAACTACAGACTGTACCTGGCGGTGAATGGTCAAGATCTGCAGTCCAACGCGGAATTTTCGTGATCACACCAATACGTACAACAAGAATGCCACGCTCGGTAAAACTTAGCACAATCCCGCATTCGATTCCGTTTACACCGGCCAGTGTGCCGGATAGGTATTCCGGCTGACGGAGTTTCCATAGGCCATACATCCATGGAACGTACTCCCTGCGATGGCGAATATTACGAGCACGACGATGTGACTTTGGAAATAGGACCTCCAGTGTTGTGAATAGTCGGGGGACACTGTATCTTGGATAGCTGCCGCTTAATGTGCTGCGACATATCCGGTTAGCCCGATAATGCCAGCCAGCAGAAGCCGAACGTCCAGAGGGGCGAAAGTTTCCACGATTTCAGACCGCCGTTGGGCGACCAGCTGCTGCAGTTTTGGAAGGTTACTTACTTCCTAACCTTGTCGCTGTTTGGGTTAACATGTTAGACGCAAGAGGGCAGTTATGCAAGCGACATGTTCGCTTTAATCTGTAGGTATTTTTTAATCTGGAAACCGTTAATAAAAACAAATGGTGGCAAGTTTTAGGTGATAAGTTGGTAACCTTTAGTAACATCTATTAATTAAGATAAAATAAAGTATGATTATATGGTTTTTCGTTCACTTTGGTAAATTTTCTCACTATGTGTTACGCTCAATGTTGAATAGCCGGCAGTTTTAAGAGAAGAAACGATGTAGTATAATATTGTCGTCAAGTTAGCAGTAATGCTGCCTTACCTGGTGGCTGTTATTATTATTCACATGACAACCAGCAACATACTACCAGACAGACACAAAACTACCAGACAGGCCACAATTTACTGTAGTCAAGCGCCAGTTGTACTTCGGGCCTGTCTTCGGCACACTCTTCCGGAAACCAAACCGTTTATTATCAGCAACTGCCAAATACCCTACGAACAGGCTAAGCAAACAAGCGAATAGTCCGTTTTCCTAATGGGAGCAAAATCCGAGCTTGTGAAATATGGATTACTGTAGGCGTCCGCACAAGTTTTGCCTGTGCCTGGTCCGGCCGTTGCCTTGCCCCTGATGGGCAATGCCCACGCTACGGTGAACGTACTGACTAGCATTATTTCTGCCCTTGTGTAGCTTTTAAATTAAAAGGTAAACGCATAAAGGAACCAAATCGTTACCACTAACTTTTTATTTCGCACTGGCACATTTTAGACCGCGTGGTGTCCATTGGCAGTACGGCGTCCATTTGCAGTTCTCCTGATCGCCGACTCTCACTGTTTACGCGGGTGAAAATGATAGAGCAGCACTGGCTGCACAATGGACGAGCGACTAACGCGATAAAACGGTGTCGATACTGGCGCTCAGTTAACAAGTAAATATAAAAATTCAGTGAATAACCCATGTACGTAACAACATCGATGATTGGACGCACAAATAATCTCACATTGACGTCGTCTATGTAAGAAAAACCCGTGGGGTTCCCATGGTCAGTCCAGTTTGACGTGTAGGCTGTTACACACAAGTCAAAAATTTTTGGAGTGCGCGTGATGAGATACAGTAGTGCACTGCTCAGCAGGATGATGTTGATTGCGTGCTGAGAATTATTATCACCGGTGGCCGCGGACGCTGCGCTGCTACCTTCCACCAAGCGGCGCGTCTTTCCAAATTCACGATCAAGTCGTCGGTAGCGCACCAGGAAGACAATCAAAATTAAACTGGGAATCAGGATCAGCAAAAAAAGTCAGGATGCGAACGGCAGGCTGTCAATGATACATGCAACATTTAAGCCAATCCACAAGTTTTGTTTTGTTGTAATCAATTTAATTTTGTAATCAAGAGTCTCAATCTAATGAATGATTAAATGTATTTAATCATAGTTAATTGTGGGTGCACATCCCTCCCATTTTCGTGTTTATGGCCGTTTGTCGGCTTTCATTGGTTTGGTAGTGGCTTTGTTTCCTCAGAGTTGGAGATTGTGAGATATTTCCTTGTTGCTGGAGAGTTGTGTGCTAAGTTGAAATCAGTTTCTGTAGTTTGGCAAGGGAAATTTTGACACCCACAATTAACTAGGTGTAAACCAACTGCTACAGACTCTGTACTCCGATCTACGGCGTTAAGATTGCAAACACTCTCCCACCCTATTCCCTGGCATTAAGTCATAGTTTCATATACGGAACGTTTGTGTATCCGGTTCCGTATACGGATTAGGTGTAATTCTGTGTGCCTTGACACAACAATGCTTGTGTGGCCGAGGAACAGTTCAACAGTGCTTCCAATCATCAGGGAAAGAACTCGTACAGTCGTAGGTACCTGTATATGGCTATGATGGCCTTGGTCGATACCTTAAGTTACTGTACATGCACATGGATCTTCAGTTTCACGCATTCCCGAGCACTATGCCATCACGGTATGTTACCAAGTGATTCGTCACATGTATGCATCGGCCTGAATATCTTTAATGCGCGCAATATTCGGCTGGGAAGTTATACGGATGAAAAAAGCGTTTAAAAGGTTCTAAGGCCGACCAACACATGTGCGCAGAAATCTCGTTGCAGGCCGATCTTATTCAAATTTTGCTAGCGGAAGGAACTAAATACTGTAATTATGGAAATCCTTTTTACACCGTACTAAATTTTCAGTTTCTTCAAAGTTTGACTGCGATAATCATAAAGAATGCAACGTGTTACGAAGCACTTGAAAAGGAAAGTGACTGTCCATGTACAAATCTGGTACCGTGATGTAAGTACTGAAACCATGTGCCGGGTCATGCGGCAAAAGTGACGGGTCTCTCTAGACACCGCTTTCTGTTTTGGTCAACCACGAACTTACTATTGCCTCGTTGTGCAAGGCGTTCCAATGCCAGAACCATTCTGGAGGTCTGAAAAAAAACTCTACAGGATCCATGTACCCGGAGAACGAGAAGCAGTAGGAAATTACAACATCGAACGCATAACATGCCAGCGATAAAGTGACGAGAACGAGAATAATAATTCGTGCTGTCAGAACTTGTTGCAGGAATCCGAAACGGAAAGTGCTCGCAAATATAAGTAAGCGTTCCCAGGACATCACAACCAGAATCCTGAAAGGTAGTAGTGCACGTACTTAGGCATATTATTAAACTATTAGCAACAGAACGCTCACCAATCGGAGATG